TCGGCGGCAGGGCTGTGAGACGCGTCGGGAGGCGCATGTGTAAGCCCTGCGCTGAGAACAGGGCGCCCTCAGCACCTCTCAGGGAATCACTGAACCTCCCAGGCGTTCTCGCGTCTGACACGGCTGATCACTGGCATTTAATGCTAGCGCGGGCCAGCGTTCCCTGGAAGCTGAGCACTTGGGTGGGCACCAAGGAGTGATTCAGGTGCCGCCCAGCTGATTGGCAGAGCGCGCACAGCTGGCTGCAGGTGTTTATACAGGTGGTGCACATCCACCCATGCCTTGTTGCACAGAACACAATTTATTCCACACACGACTGGAAAATATTAGCAGGACATTAGCCCTGTCTCCTGTCATTCGTAGTCTGAGATAGCCCAGAAGGGAGTTGGCTGATTGCCAGCCATTACGCCCGCGTGATTGCACCCGATTTGATACATTTTTTCACCTGCTATGAGTCATCCACAGTGTTTGACGCCCCCAGCCCTCAGATCCACTGCGCAGAGCTCTGGCAGGGGCACTGGTGGCCAGGCCAAGCCAAGCTGCGGTTTAGGACCCTGGAGAGTTGGAGCGGGAGGCTCTCAGGGGTGTGCTTGCCCAAAGCTGGCTTCTGTCTTTTGAGATTTCAACAAAAACCCAGCAGCGTTAGCCAGAGTCCCTGGGTGCCCTGAAAGCCTCCGGCCCACCGCTCCACAGACCCCCTCCCGCTGGCTGCGAGGGAAACTCCAGATACCCCAGGCCGGCTTGGCGGCACGGGGGCCTGTGTGGCAGAGCCTGGCTCCGTCCGCGCTCGTCCAGGACTTTCCTTTGCTTTAATGGAGCATCGTGGACCCGAGTCCCCAGCGCGACACCGCAGCCGCTCTGTTTCTCTTTCAGGGTCGGCAAGCTGGTGGACTCCAGCATGGGCATCCAGGCCATCCAGCTCCCGGCACTGCAGTACCAGCACGAGCGGCGCTCCAACGACTGGGCCGTGGACGACTCCAGCAGCCTGAGCGGCATGACGGACATGACGGACGACAGCGGGGCGCTGATCACGGAGGATTGCTCCAGCATCAAACTGAACACGGGGGTGAGGTTCGGGCGGGCGCGGGGCCTGCCGGGGCACGGTGGGATATCAGGAGGGAATCGAGTCAGCCAGAACCCCCGGTTCTAAGCCCTCCTCTGACCCTGGATCCCTGCGGCTTCTGAGTGGCAGAGCCCAGTCTCGGCTCAGTCATCGGAGCTGTCTGGGTCTCGCTTCCAAATGCCCCGCTGGCTTGGCCAGCCCGAGTTGCTCTGCCAGGGAGGGGGAGAATCCCGCCGTCGCAAAGTCCCTGCCCCAAGTGGGCAGCACGAGAATCCCGTCTCATGCTGATCTTGCGGCTCTGAATCCGTCTGGCACTCGAAGGGCAGATCTCGCTGGCTGCCGTCCTGCGCGCGATGGTTTTGGGCAGCAGGGGGGCGTCCTGGGAGAGACCAGCCAGGGGAGGTGATGTCTGTAATTGGACCAGCCTCGGCCGGGGGAAGAACGAGGAGTCCTGGGCCCCACGTGGCTACCCGCACCCCAGGGCCGCGTCCACGGGTGTCTCAGTGGAAGGATGCAGATGGCCATGGGGCGATGAGTGGACGTGATCCAGGCGGCCGCAGGGCTTCCTGCTTGGCGCCAACGGGGG